AAGAGCTTTCTTATTGTTTACGTGCCAGCCAGACAAGGCACAGACCTGTGGCCTCTATAGCGGCCTGACGCTCCCTAACAACTGACCTGGGACCTGACGAGAGGCACGTTGAGAAGACTGTCCTCCTGAGAGCTGGCAGCACAGACCTGTGGCCTCTATAGCGGCCTGACAACCTGGGACCTGACGAGAGGCACGTTGAGAAGACTGTCCTCCTGAGAGCTGGCAGCACAGACCTGTGGCCTCTATAGTGGCCTGACGCTCCCTAGGAACTGACCTGGGACCAGACGAGAGGCACGTTGAGAAGGCTGTCCTCCTGAGAGTTGGTCTTGTTGGGGGAGGTGGCGGCACATGTGGCCTCTATAGCGGCCTGACGCTCCCTAGGAACTGACCTGAGACCTGACGAGAGGCACGTTGAGCAGACTGTCCTCCTGAGAGCTGGCAGCACATGTGGCCTCTATAGTGGCCTGACGCTCCCTAGGAACTGACCTGAGACCTGACGAGAGGCACGTTGAGAAGGCTGTCCTCCTGAGAGTTGGTCTTGTTGGGGGAGGTAGCAGCACATGTGGCCTCTATAGCGGCCTGACGCTCCCTAGGAACTGACCTGAGACCTGACGAGAGGCACGTTGAGAAGACTGTCCTCCTGAGAGCTGGTCTTGTTGGGGGAGGTGGCGGCACATGTGGCCTCTATAGTGGCCTGAGGCTCCCTAGGAACTGACCTGCGACCTGACGAGAGGCACATTGAGCAGACTGTCCTCCTGAGAGTTGGCAGCACATGTGGCCTCTATAGCGGCCTGACGCTCCCTAACAACTAACCTGGGACCTGACGAGAGGCACGTTGAGAAGACTGTCCTCCTGAGAGCTGGCAGCACAGACCTGTGGCCTCTATAGCGGCCTGACACCCCCTAGGAACTGACCTGAGACCTGACGAGAGGCACGTTGAGCAGACTGTCCTCCTGAGAGCTGGTCTTGTTGAGGGAGGTGGCGGCACATGTGGCCTCTATAGTGGCCTGAGGCTCCCTAGGAACTGACCTGCGACCTGACGAGAGGCACATTGAGCAGACTGTCCTCCTGAGAGTTGGTCTTGTTGGGGGAGGTGGCGGCACCAGGCGTACGCAGCTCGCAGAGGCCGGCGTTGTGCTGCGGCAGGAGGCAGTGAACAAACCGCAGCTTCGTGCGCCGCAAGCTCTCCACGATGCCGTCCTGGGGGGCGAGCAGGCAGCCATCGTTAGGACTTTTAGCAAAGGTTAGGTTAGGTTAGGTTTACCTAACCTAGGTTACCTAGGTTTACCTAACCTAGGTTACCTAGGTTTACCTAACCTAGGTTACCTAGGTTTACCTAACCTAGGTTACCTAGGTTTACCTAACCTAGGTT